CTCTGCTCTGCTCTGCTCTGCTCTGCTCTGCTCTGCTCTGCTCTGCTCTGCTCTGCTCTGCTCTGCTTTGCTCTGCTCTGCTCTGCCCTTCCCTTCCCTTCCCTTCCCTTCAGTCTAACTCCCATCAGTCTTAAGTAAGTCGATTGGGTTCCCTGTGTTACATTAGTGCCCAGTCCTACTCATTTCTCATTCAGCCATGATATTTTAAACATTTTGTTTACATTTTCTGTTTCTAGTTTTTACTAAAAAATATTCTCTAGATTAACTAATCAAGATTCAAAATGGAAAGTCCTCTAAATTCGGTAGGTATTTATCATATTTTAACATTTATATAGCGATCAGATCTAAAGAATCTATCTCATGCAATAAGCTACCTTTATACAATATGAAAGCCAAAATTTTCTATCCTCACTCGAACTGATTCATCACAGAAACAAATGAAGCTTATAACTTTTACTAAAATCGTCTTTTACCATCACCAGGTGATTAATTCTATATTCATTTATTCGTAGTTCATTTATAGAAATTCAAAAATATCTTAAATTAACTCATTCGGTTTTGATACGGTCGGTGCAATTTCAATAGTTATTTTTTAAGCCGAGATAACTTTGCTTTGCATTGTATTAAAGTTTTTAAATTATAAACAAAACGTGAAGACAGTTTTTAAGTTATCTTTGTCGTTTATCTTATATTTTAATACCATCTTATCTGTTATATATTTAGACTGCCATTATTATTATCATTATTTAAGTCCTTAATCTCAGGATTACATCCACCCGGATGATCATAATACTTAACATATTATTATTATTATCATTAGGTTTGATTTTGACTTTTTATTACAGGCACATCTACAAGAAAGAAAGGCTGAATCTTTCTTAAGTTGTCATGAGTTTTCTGAAGCAATCAAATGCTACCAAAAAGCTGCAGGTACAGTGTATATAGAATTCATTGAATACACTTACTTATAAAATACCTATTATATATGCATCTCATGTTCTGATTGATTGATTCTGATGTTATTGACAAGTCTTTTGTTGAAGAGGCCTATGAAACCTAATTCGAAATTTTCAGCATCGATTCTAAATTAAGTAAAAAGTTGAATAGTAAGATATTTTTATATGGTTTGAGTTATGCATCTTGGAGATATCAAGGTTTATACTCACAATATGTTAATGATGTGACTTCAAAGGAGGCATTTCAATTTATCTGCCATCACATGGAAATCAAAAAACACTGATTACTATGAGAATTTTTTTTGCTAGAACCTTTCTTTAAGTCCTAAGTAAGACAATGATGTTTCATACAGGATATTTTACTTCCCCAGAAAAGTTTTATATATTTAATGATGCCTCCTTTGGCGTCACATCATTAACATATTGGGAGCATAAAACTTGATATCTCCAAGATGCATCACTCAAACCATATAAAAATATCTTACTATTCAACTTTTTACTTAATTTAGAATCGATGCTTAAAATTTTGAGTTGGGTGTAATAGGCATTTTAAATTCAACCAAGATGGCATGTATATGACGTCATGTGCAAATGAAGATTAGAACTAATTGGTCTTGGTACAATGTTTTTTTTATTTCAGACCATATGTCATTCCCAAGAGTATCAATTCTTTGTTTAATGGTTGTGCACAAATAGATACACCAATATAAATGTTTAGTTCCAGAAATTATCCATTTATCCCCCCTCCCTCCCCTGGGAGGAAATTTTTTAAAGACCCCCTCCACTACCCCCAGAAATTCAAATTTTGTTCCATACAAACTTGTAATTTTGTTCTTTCTCTAACCCCCCTCCCCCCTCCCCATCCAAAATAATTCCTCTGAGGGAACGGGGGAGGGGGAGAGGAGATATGGATAATTTCTGTAGCTACACAATACAACTCAAACAAAGAGTCTTATTCTCAAGAGAATGATAGGGGATAAATGAGAAAACATATTGCACCAAGATGAATCAGGTTTATACAGAGAAATTTAAAAGCCACTTTATTTTGCTTTAATTAATTATAAAAATATTTTAAAACAATTTTGTTTAAGATTGTCTCTGTCTTATGATATAAACTTGGTAGCCAGCCAATCAGCACTCTCGTTATATTTGAAATGTTTTTAATTATAATTTAGCTACTACTGCACAGCACAGTTCTCAATCAATCAGAATGCAAGCACAATTTAGCTAATAACACAATAATAGTAATTGCAGCTTAAGGATGCACACAGGAGATGACAATTTAAATCATGGTAAAATATATAATAATTTTCACAAATATATAGTTATCAGGTATTTGAAAAACTAACTCAAATTAACTTATAACTCAAATTTATCCTTATAGAAAGTTTTCACTTTAATTTTTTTCATTGTAGAATATTTAATAGAAGCAATGAAATTAACCCAAGTCACACAGGTATGTCCTTCCATGGTAAAAAAATATGTTTTACATATAGATCAATAAATACGAAACAGTTTTTCACATGCCTAATGCTGAGAGACCACAAGAGAAGCATCGGAAACCACAACGTAAGCAAAAAATATTGATTTATTTTTTCCTAGGAAAAATTAAAGTCAGAAAATGTGCAAAAACTATTTCAAATCAAAACAATCTATTGTTTAAACACAAAGTATCATGGTCGTGGGAGGGGGTCAAATCATGCAAATTCACCAAAAATTGTTCTAAAACCCGTATCAATCCACGAAGAGAAGTAGAATAGCCAGCAAACACTCAGAATATTTTTTAGTACATATTAACACATATTATATCTGAAAACCAGGCCATTTTAGATTAAACTGTTTCACTAGGAGCAAATTTTGTTGAAATTTCTATTGGATTTGGCGATTCTATCCCCCACATAAACAAGCAGTGACGTCATAGTGAAGTAGGGCAATTAGTTACGAACTCTCATAGGGCATGTTTGGAGCATCACTAATCTCGATATCCTCTTTCTATAAAATTTTTTTCATTTTTTTTCAATGCTGTCTTCTCTAACTGATGAACTAATGGACACACCTCTTTTCATAGGGTCTATGCAAAACAGCATTTTGTTATATGAAGTATTAGAAAATAACTAAGTTCTAAGGTGCAATTGCGTGCCCTGAGGATTTAGCTTCAGGAAATAATCTCATACTTTAAAAGATTGAGGGATTAGAATTCGCAATGGTTAGAAAACATTTGTTTGTTTGTTTGTATCCTCTTTGCATAACTTGTAAGTCAAAAATGAATCTAATTCCCCCTGGGGGGGTGGGGGGGGGTACTCTTGCCCATTTAAGATAGGATGTGCCACTGAGCCCTCTGAACCCTGACCCTGTTCCAGAGTAAAATTGCTGAAATTCATACCCTGTTCCAGAGCAAGGTTGCTGAAAACCATACTCTGTTCTGGTATTGCGAAAATAGATACCGTTCCAGAGAGGAGAGAACGTGATTTCATATACCCTGTTCCAGAGCGAGCGCGATTTTATATACCCTGTTGCAGAGTAGAATTGCTGAAAACCATACCCTGTTTGGCAGCAGGTACCCGTATAGCGAATATAGGGGATTATCCCCCCCCCCCCGGAATTCCCTTGACCTACAGATCCACTCTAGCTGCAAATTCAAAACTAGATTATGTGGCTAGCCCATCCTGAGTTCCTTCATCCCAATTAAAACATTTAACTGTTACATAATGGTGGACGCAATGCATGGAGGAATGTTTATGTGGGATATGGAAAGTGAAAAGGTGGTCATAAACTAGCTAGCTGCAAAAAGGGAAGGAAATGCTTGAAAATCCAATTTTGAAAATTGTATAATAAATTCCATGAACATATTACCTTTTAATATTTCAATATTCTGGTTCTTCCTTTCCAATCCACTCTCTCTTTTCAGAACTGTACCATGCATGTCTGAAAAAGGATAAGTTACAATAAGTTACACCATCCTTTGAAATAATTTTCCAGACCAAGACGGCCCCATTTCCTTCAGAATTCCTGGTCTAAGAAACCCCCCCTCTCCTTCGGAATTCCAAAATACCGCCCGTGGTAGGGGTATGGATATTTTTTGGAACTACCCAATACCCCATTTTACAGTTCCATTCTGTGACCATGAATAATAGTTCTGGCCAGGCAGACAAGCGCTGGAGTCGCCGCACATGATATAAAGTATATTTTTACTATGCGCGGAAACTCCAACCTTAGCTTGGAACTATTATTCTTGTCAATGAACAGAACTGTAAAAAGGAGTAATGTATTTAAAGTGCATAGGGTTTGTCAAAGTCAAATTAAAGGATTTAAAAATGTATATATTCAAGAGAAAATAATTTTGTCTTTTCTATCGAGAGCTATCTCACTTGAATTTTAAAACCAAAGATTTTAAGTTTGTTTTTGTTATAGCATTTTCAACTATTTAGTTGAGCTAAGGTTGTTATGCACAGTTACAGCTCAGAGCTTTCTTTTAAAAGTAGTCCTTTCTAAAAACGTCTTTTAGTTATAAAGTAACAAAGCAACATGCAATCATCTTGAACATTTACAAACTAGTTTAAAACAGACTTTTAAAAATGAACAATTCTATGAACTAAATAAACATTACCTGTCTTATTCCTGTACATCTTCCTTCCAGACATATTTGGCTTCCTATTTCTTCCTTTTCCAGTAGTGCTTAGTGCGAACATAATTTCCCTCGTTGTAACGAAAACGGTCATTCATTTTTTTAACGTTTCTTGGCGGCCATTTTGAAATGTCTCGTTTCTGTGAAGTAATTTTACATAATAATGGTCATACTTTCTCGCCTTGTTTATCAGAATTGTACCCTTTTTAGCTATTTTGCAACGGTTTTAAACTTTAAGCGAATAAAGTTGGTATATTCTGGCCTATATTCAGTTGTTTTAAGAATTTAGAAAATGAAAGAAAGACGCGGGAACTTTTGGCGGGAATTTTCTTTGACCCGTCAAATCATTAGTTTCCCTAAAAAACGTTTTTAAAAAATTGTAAGAATGAATATCATGATTAATAAATAAACTGAATTACTTTACTTTGCTGCATGCGCTGCGCTGCGCTGTGCTGCGCTGCGCTGTGCTGCGCTGCGCTGCGCTGTGCTGTGCTGCGCTGTGCTGTGCTGTGCTG